AGAAATTTCCTGTGGTTGAACCATCACATTCTTTTTTTTCCTATAATCCATTCTATTGTATCCATGAAGCTATTAAAGCAAAAAGCTCTTGTCCCTTGGTCCACAGTCACTGCTTCCATGTTTATACACTAGAGATGGGTCGGATCTTGGCCAGTTTATTATTTATTTCAGGTACTTATATAGCGCCGTCAATTTTACGCACCGCTTTACATACATTTTACATTCACATCAGTCCCTAACCCTCAAGGGGAATACAATCTAAAGTCCCTAACTCACATACACATACTAGGGCCAATTTAGACAGGAGCCAATTAACCTACCAGCATGTCTTTGGAGTGTGGGAGGAAACCGGAGTACCCGGAGGAAACCCACGCAGGCACAGGGAGAACATGCAAACTCCAGGCAGGTGGTGCCGGGTTGGGATTTGAACCAGTGACCCTATTACTGCCAAGTGGAAGTGCTAACCATTTAGCCACTGTGCTTCAGCAGGGACCAGATGAGATTCAATCCATCTATGAGCAGGCCAGCCGTATAGAAGTCAATCTATCGATCGACTTCAGTACAACCAACCTGTTGGATTTTTCTCATGCATTCATGGTCAGCTGCTATAGTTGCCAGCAATGATATTGTGTTCTGTAGGCAGGGACGGCTCTCAGTCGGCAGAACACAACTGCGCTGCGGGAGGGATTCCTCCATTAAAACTGACTGTTTTGATGGGGGAATCGAGCAATATTCTTTTGTTCCTCCCGTGAAGGAAGGCAAGAAAATTGCATAATCTATGGGCTGCTTTACAGCTTATTAGGGGTAACCGGCAACTCCTGTATGCCCTCGTCTCCCAAAGCTCCATGCCAGGTTCTCGGTAATGTCACCTAATTACGCTGTTTTTAGAAAAGCTGTCAACCGACATTTTTGCCTGCGCAGTCACCTTTGTGATGGGCTGTTCTTTAAACTATTATTGGAATTCAAATGTATCTAGAAAAAAAAAAAAAAAAAAAAAAAAAAAAACAGGGAAATTCTGCTAAGAACAGATAACGAAAACTCCCTTCCCTGAGAACAAACCAGTCTCACTACCAAAATTGCTGCTGTGTCAGCCCATCCCGTGTACCTGCTCAATGGGAACCAGCAGGGTAAATTCTTTGCAGCCCACGGTGGTTAACTGACCACAGATAGCTAGAACCACAATGCAACTATTCTCATATAAAAAAGCCTCAGCGTTCATAAAAAAAATGAAGCAATAGTAACGATTTTAACCCATTCTTGCAACAATTACTATAAAAATGATTTATGCTGAAAAAGCTGCAAAACTATTGGGTCATTTAAAACTGGATCAGACACTATCCAAGTCTAAAGCACTAGTGAGAACTCATCTGGAATATGGACAACCAAACTGATAAGAGGCATGGAGGAGCTCAGCTATGAGGAAAGATTAGAGGAACTGAATTTATTCTCTCTTGAGAAGAGAAGATTAAGGGGGGATATGATCACCATGTATAAATACATCAGTGGACCATATAATAAAACTCGGTGTAGAGTAATTCACTTTAAGGTCATCACACAGGACAAGGGGGAACTCTTTACGTCTGGAGGAAAAGAGATTTCATCTCCAAATATGTAAAGGCTTCTTCACTGTAAGAGCTGTGAAAATGTGGAATAGACTCCCTCAAAAGTTGGTTCTGGCCAGCTCAGTGGATTGCTTTAAAAAAGGCCTGGATTCTTTCCTAGATGCACACAATATAACTTGATAATAACATTTATAGGTAAAGTTGATTCAAGGAATATCCGATTGCCTCTTGGGGGGACAGGAAGGAATTTGTTCCCCTGCTGGAGCAAATTAGATCATGCTTTGTTGAGGTTTTTTTGCCTCTCTCTGGATCAACTGTGGGTAAAGGATTGTGAATATAGGACTGTATTTTTGTTTCCTTATTATTGGTTGAACTAGATAGACTTGTGTCTTTTTTTTTTTCAACCAGACTAACTATATAACTATGTAGCTATCCTTGACTGTTATTTTAATGTGGTTAACATGAAGGTCTTTGCTATAAATGTGTGCTAGGAATCCTCTGTCAATAAATAATACTCTTTCAGCACAAAAATAGATACTATAAATGCAAACAAATTCTCAGACATGAAAAATCCATTGATCCCAAGGCTTTTTTTGCTGCACATAACACTTTAAATCCGTCAGTGGCTGACTGTTCAATACACCAAAATATTGGGTTACTGAGAAATCATTATACTGTATAAGAAAGGTCTACCTCCCTGGAATAACAGATCACCACATCATGGCATTGATGGGTAAGATTCTTCTTAGATGGACAGCCATGGACAGTACTGATGATGCTGCACGGCCTCTTGGCATGGGGCAGCCATGTGGGCTTGGCGTGCAGGCATGCATGGCGCTATCTCTGATATGGCAGCGTCCATGTTTTACTCTCCCCAGCAGGAGAAAAGATGACATATGGGGGGGGGGGGAAGGAGAAACTCCAGCCAGTACCATTTTAAAACAGGTTCACACATGAGCCACTGTTACTATTCAAGGTGCATGGTATGATACTTTGTCTTTTTACCAGATTCAGGTACGGACTTTAGATCTTTGGGAACACAAAGATTTACCCTGCGGGATTTACCCATATATTGGTTTTTACTATTTTTCACATTCTTTGTTTTTTTGTTTCGATAGATACCTGGGGGCCACCAAAGGTATTTTATATATACATCCTGTCATAAGATCCTAGATTGTAAGCTCCAAGGAGCAGGGCCCTCAAACCCCTCGTCTATCAGATTGTATTGTTATTGTACTGTCGTATGTTCTGTCCCCCTTTGTAATGTACAGCGCTGAGCGAACTGTTGGCGCTATATAAATACTGTATAATAATAATATAATAATAAGGTTCTAACATATGTACAAGCCCAATTTTCTCTCTATCCCTATTGAAGCACCTAGACTGGATTCAGCTGTTGAGGTGTCATGCAGTTTCCATGTCCATACCTACCAAAGTTTATCTGGATACAGTAATTTTAGTAAATGTTTATATGTATAAATATATACTTACATTTGAATATTAACCTCCCTAGCGGTCTGATTATGTCAGTATTTCTGTGCCCAAAGCGGTACTTTTTTTTGCATGGAAATATGTGTTTTTTTATTGTAAGCCTGCAATTCTTAGGAATAACTCACTGAAATCTGTCCGAACAAGAGTCTAGTAAACATCCCGGGTATGATAAAATTTGAAACACAAACTCATAAATTATAATTTAATAATCATAAAAAAAAAAAAAAATTTAATTAAATTAAATAATGTAATCAAACCAAAAACACTGAAATTTGAAATAGAGCGCCAAGTTCACACATCAGTGATCTTAGTCACAAAATAGTTTTCAGTGTCTGGTGCCAAATTTCCCCACAAATCATTATCACTCAATTCTGCAAATAGCTCTAATTTACTATCGCTGTTCTCTAGCTGGTCTAAAACCGATTTTGACCTAAAGGGACGCTTTTTGGACGCCATGGACATTTCTCAGTTTCCAGGCAGAAAGAACAGTAAAAATGCCGGCAAGGCACAGGACAAAGCACTCGGGACAAAATGTATGCAAAATGGTTTGATACAGTAATGTTTTACTATGTGATATTGAGTGAATGTCACTTTTTAAAATTTCCCGCCGGTTACGTCCCCCATATGTCCCGTACGTCCCAATGTCGCAGGGAACAGAACCCGGAAGACAGATGCCGGCATCGGCCGGAGGACATTGCCGGGGACATCGTGGGAGTGCAGGACAAGGTAAGAGAAGAAGAGATCGCGGAGCAGCGCCGCATGGTAAGCCCGAGTGTAGCTCGGGGTTACCGCTTGTGGTGCTGAAACTTTACCCCGAGCTACACCTGGGAATACCGCCAGGGAGGTTAAACTGATTTTTGCAATTATCATTACTACTTTCTGGATGTCCCATATAGCTAGCATATAACACACTTGTTGTTTATTAGTGGTCTAGTTGGCTTTATGAGATATTTTATCCCGTCTCCTTACTTTTTAACACCTCTCTCCTGAAGAAGCATGAGGAGCTGCCATCAGACTGTAGTTACATTGCCCTAGAACAGTGGTCTCCAAACTGTGCCCCTTTACTTGCTTTTATCCGGCACTTGGGGCATTATTCCCCCCACCATCAGCAACAGTGGGGCATAGTTCCTGCCACTGACACCAACAATGGGGCACTATTCCTTCTACTAACACCAATAATGGGGCACTATTCCTTCCACTAACACCAATGATGGAGCACTATTCCTTCTACTAACACCAATAATGGGGCATAATTCCTCCCACTGACAACAATGATGGAGCACTATTCCTTCTACTAACACCAATGATGGGGCACTATTCCTCCCACTGACACCAATGATGGGGCATTATTCCTCCCACTGACACCAATGATGGGGCACTATTCCTCCCACTGACACCAATGATGGGGCATTATTCCTCCCACTGACACCAATGATGGGGCACTATTCCTTCTAACAACACCAAATGGGGCACTATTCCTCCCACTGACACCAATGATGAGGCACTATTCCTCCCACTGACACCAATGATGGGGCACGATTCCTTCCACTAATACCAATAAGGGGGCATTATTCCTCCCACTGACACCAATGATGGGGCACTATTTTTTCCACTGACAACAATGATAGAGCACTATTCCTCCTACGGACACGAATGATAGGGCACTATTGCTCCCACGGACACCAATGAGGTATGCACACACATACACCTTAAGGAGGCTTCACACTGCTTAAGTTTAGGTTCACCCCTAATCAGATTGCGTTTGAGGCGTTTCTGCATTGTGTTTTTGCACTTTCATTTTTGATGTGCTTTCTTTTTTTTCCATTTTTTTTTATTTTTCTTGTTGCCAAGCAGATTTTAAATGCAAAACGCATCAAAAACCTATGCAAATACATGCATTTCTGCAGCGTTCCCATTTAAGTCTATCGAACCAAAAACGCAACTATTTGCGTTCCAAAAAGTCCCTGACCCTTTCCAAAAAACACACTGAGTGAAAATGCAGAGATGTGAACCTGTCCCACAGGAAATCATGTTAAATGGACTGTACTGCGTTTCTGCAAAACACGGCAGAAAACGCTTCGGTGTGAACCTGGGGTTAGCCAAAGTGCAACTAACCCGTGATTTTCCTGCAGATTAGCTGCACATTCCCATAGACTTCAAGGATGTCCCGTGGTTTGGTGTGCTTTCTAAAAGTGCTCCAAAACTGTAGAAAATAACAGAAGTCTATGGGAAAGTGCAGCTAATCCGCAGAAAACCGTGGGCTAGCTGCACTTTAGCCAAAGAGCAGCGGGGCAGAGTGAAGCCACCTTAATATTTACTTAAACTAGAAAATCTGTAATCCAGATAATTTCAGGTTCTGCTTCTTTATTCTTTACATTTACATCTTTTAGTGCAGCACAGTGGCTAAATGGTTAGCACTTCCACCTGGTGGTACTAGGGCCGTTGGTTCGAATCCCAACCACGGCACCACCTGCCTGGTGTTTGTATGTTCTCCCTGTGCCAGCGTGGGTTTCCTACCACATTCCGAAGACATGCTGGTAGGTTAATTGGTTCCTGTCTCTTTACTGGCCCTAGTATGTGTATGAATGTGAGTTAGGGATTGTACGCTCCTTGAGGGTTAGGGACTGACGTGTGTGTATGTGTATAATATATATATATATATATATATATACATATACACATATATATATATATACACACATACATACACATCCATGCATACACACACACACGTAAAGCGCTGTATAAATTGATGGTGCTATATAAGTACCTGAAATAAAAGAAATCCATTTTAGGAGCTGGTTGTACACGAGGACCAATCCTTCTATGCCTCTGGTCAGGTTTTGTATAGAACAGAATATATTCTGAAGCAGAATGAAAGGACATTTCTTTGCACATTCAGAGTTCCATACATACAAAGGTGAAATCTGACCCGGAATGTGGCGACAGTCCCGTCTGCTGTTGATGTCGGTAGTATTTACCATACACCACAGAAAACATCTCTACATACCACAACACTGTCAGAATAACACTCAGCACTGCCACAAATACAACATTGTCTTCCCACAAGATGCCAAGAGAAGTATTCTGCAGAAAATATCCAAGTCACCGGCCACAGATCTAACACAAAGTTCTGATCCCCGGTTCAGTGTCACAGCACATGTGATTCGCACAGGAAATATACCACATTCCTGTGCAAATCACATGCGATTCTGTGTGCTGTGATTTGAGCCCATTATCTTGTATGGATCAAACAGCACTGTATTCGCAGGAAAAAGGTGCAGGCACCTTTCTTTTTGCTGCACTGGAAAAGGATCACAGGGGTGTTCCTATCCGCACTGCGTTCTGCTTTTGGGGTGCCATCAGCCTTTAATTGAAACCCGCAGATCACTGGACACACAGTGACTGCTATGCGGAGTGATGCAGAAAATGTGATTCCTGTGCGTTTCCTGCATCACATCAGCGTGAACTAAGCCTAAGGCTACATTCACACGGCCAGGTACATGTGGCCACTGGATTCCAGCACAGAGTGGTCAGCCCTGGTTCACATTATGGATTGAACATACACAATTCTTGTTCAATTCCCATGTGGCTCAGTGCCATGCGATTTGAGCCTTTGCACTTTGAGTGGCCTCAAACTGCACTGCATCGTACCACAAATCGTGCATGCACGGCTTCTGGAAACGTACTGCAATCGGACCGCATGGTGCATTTATACCAAGCGATCCGGTCCAGGCAAATGTACTGCGTTCACAACCTATGTTTAGGGTGTCGTTAACATCGACACCTTCTGCAGATCCCAACTGCAGTGTGTTCTGAATGAGGTCCAGGAGACGAGCAGAGATCGCAGGATTGTCGCACCGTGTTCTAGTGTGAACCGAGCCTGATGGATGGATGGATGGGTGGATGTCGGAGCCTGGACACAGTCATCTGCTAAGTGCATGCCCCGGTCATCCCAGCCACTGGAATCTGGAGGCCATTATGTAACTGGTCGTATGAAAGAGGGTCCCGGGTATGTTCACTTCACGTGTGGTGGGACGGCACTGGGGGGGTTATTCCAGCATAGTCCCACCGCATGGACAAGGCAAAACACCTGGCCTCCTAGGTGCCTGGTTCACACCCCTGTGTCAGAGACGGGTGCAGGCACAGTGCGCGGGGAAAAAAAAAAAACAAATACAGCATGGCACTTGAACTGTATGGGGTGTCTGTGTGACATCTCAATAAAGTTAATTTAAAAACAATGTAAACAGTGCAATGCACCAAGCTCTGTGCATCATCACTTCACATCACTCCCCTCTCCATGCCGCAAAAAAGATGCCTTCAACTCACCACACACAATACAACCTGATTGTACAATTTCCTTTAGATCTACCAAAAGTAGCAGTGCAAGGGCCTTCCTGGGAGGAAACAAATCGACTGGCTGGATCATCTAGGTGTTACATCTAACGTATGATTGTACAAAGATTGTATGGTCAGATTGTACCGTGTGTGTTGTCATCCTATGCTGACTGCAAAGATCCCATTACAAAGCAGTTCAAAATCAAACACTGAACTCGATATCTGAAAGAAACTATTTATTGAACGTCTGTCCTTTCCTCCTGAGGAGTGAGAGGACGGGTCCTGAGCAGGAGGAATCCCACCAGATGAACAAAACATCAATATTTCCTGGACTGTACAGAAGTGACAACCCTGAGAGTGTATCCTGCGTGTGCCGACATGGGGATCTATATTCCTGACAGTCATGTGACAAGAGCCGGGGGTAGTATATGACGGAGCAAAGTCCATGTGACAACACAGCTCACACGGGACGTCACTGAGGACCGGCCGCCGTCTATCCGTGTGACATGGGGACAGGATGGGGACAGGGGGGGGGCCCGTCTTCTATCAGTGTGACATGGGGACAGGATGGGGACGGGGGGGGGCTGTCTTCTATCCGTGTGACATGGGGACAGGATGGGGACGGGGGGGCCTGTCTTCTATCCGTGTGACATGGGGACAGGATGGGGACGGGGGGGCCTGTCTTCTATCCGTGTGACATGGGGACAGGATGGGGACGGGGGGGCTGTCTTCTATCCGTGTGACATGGGGACAGGATGGGGACGGGGGGGGCCGTCTTCTATCCGTGTGACATGGGGACAGGATGGGGACGGGGGGGCCGTCTTCTATCCGTGTGACATACAGGATGGGGACGGGGGGGCCATCCGTGTATTAGAAGGAGCGAAAACATTCCACAATGTCACGGAGCACACAACTACTGGGGGGCCACCAGGCCCTATAATAGACTGCATGCTGGACAGGGGGGCCCCACTTCCAACGTGATCACACTGGGGAGCATGCTGAGACGGGGGGTCCCACAACTTCTATAGAAACACATCACACTGGCATACTGGACACGTCTTCAACCAAAGTCTGTCATTGGGGACAGCATACACTTCCAGACCCCCGACCGGTCTTCGTACCCCACCCCCGTGTCATCGTACCCCACCCCCGACCGGTCCTCATAACTTTTCCTTATAGCTCTTTGTACCTGTTCATACAATTCTTCGTATCTCCAATCAGCCAAGTATATCAGAGTCTGCCTGCACACCAAACCACAGACGGGGCGTCCACTCTGCAAGAGAATAGCTGCCAAAATCCTTTACGGTGTCACCATACGATGCTTGGTCTGTACATTGGTCGGTCTGTACAGTGCCCATTACATAATGGTGGTCCGTCCCAGATCACACTGGGAATGGTGTCACCATACGAAACGTGGTCTGTACGGGTCACCATACGACGGCCGGTCCACAACGAATACGGTGTCACCATACGACACTGTGCTGTACGGGACACCGCAACAAAAGTCTGTCTGTACACAGCATACATAATGACCCCCGGTCCTGGTGTCACCATACCCGAAATGTGGTCTCATAACTTTTCCTTATACGCTCTTTGTACCTGGTCTGTACGGTGTCACCATCACAAGTATATCACGGTCTGTACGGTGTCACCACCAAACCACAGCCCGGTGTCACCATACGAGAATAGCTGCCAAAATCCTTTACGGTGTCACCATACGATGCTTGGTCTGTAATTGGTCACCGGTGGTTTGTACAGTGTCACCATAATGCTCGGTCGTACGGTGTCACCATACGAAACGCTGGTCTGTACGGTGTCACCATACGATGCTCGGTCTGTACGGTGTCACCATACAATGCTCGGTCTGTACGTGTCACCGCTTGGTTTGTACTGTGTCACGATACGATGCACGGTCTGTACGGTGTCATTACATACGATGCTCGGTCTGTACGGTGTCATTACATGCTCGGTCTGTACGGTCTCACACGCTTGGTTTGTACATGTACACAATGGTCGGTCTGCACGGTGTCATTACACAATGGTCGGTCTGCACGGTGTCATTACACCATGGTCGGTCCTGCTACGGTGTCATTGCACAATGGTCGGGTCCCTACGGTGTCACCGTGCGATGGTCGGTCCCTACGGTGTCACCGTGCGATGGTCGGTCCCTACGGTGTCACCGTGCGATGGTCGGTCCCTACGGTGTCACCGTGCAATGGTCGGTCCCTACGGTGTCACCGTGCGATGGTCGGTCCCTACGGTGTCACCGTGAGATGGTCGGTCCTACGGTGTCACCGTGCGATGGTCGGTCCTACGGTGTCACCGTGAGATGGTCGGTCCTACGGTGTCACCGTGAGATGGTCGGTCCCGTACGATGTCACCGTGAGATTTTCGGTCCGTACGGTGTCACCGTGAGATGGTCGGTCCGTATGTTGGTACCGTGCGATGGTCGGTCCCTACGGTGTCACCGTGCAATGGTCGGTCCCTACGGTGTCACCGTGCGATGGTCGGTCCCTACGGTGTCACCGTGCGATGGTCGGTCCCTACGGTGTCACCGTGCGATGGTCGGTCCGTACGGTGTCACCGTGAGATTTTCGGTCCGTACGGTTGGTCACCGTGAGATGGTCGGTCCGTACGGTGTCACCGTGCGATGGTCGGTCCGTACGTTGTCACCGTACGGTCCCGGCAGTCGTAGTGTAGAAGTGATCACAGGTCCGGAGTCGGGTGGAAAGTTTCCCTCACACTCCGTAGAGGAGGTGGCCGGGCCGGGTGTTGAGGATAGGAGGGCTCACTCACCCGCAGTGACGGTTGTGTCCCGGGCTCCCCCGCTCCGTCCCCGGGCTCGGTGTCCTCACACAGGGAAGACCAGACAACTTAGTTACTGAAGATTCCGTCCATCTGGAGGAAGAAGGGGGCGGGGCGAAGCAGGCCTCACTCATCACTTCCCAGGCTGGCGGGGGGCGGAGACCGGGCGTGTCCTCCCCTCACACAGGCGTGTCCTTCCCTCATAGAGCGCGCTGTGACGGGTGTGGTGATCACTTCATAGAACATACTTACACCGTACGGAGTGTGCTGGCCGCCTTCCAGAATCTCCTCACTGACGGGATCCTGGGCGCCGTACACTGACAGCACCAATGTCCTGGCTCAGAGCTCTATATACACATCCTACAATCTGCTGTACGGAATATGTGACCCCGACATTTTATATATTCCTGCTGTACAGAATACGTGACCCCGACACTTCATATATTCCTGCTGTACAGAATACGTGACCCCGACACTTCATATATTCCCGCTGTACAGAATACGTGACCCCGACACTTCATATGTTCCCGCCGTACGGAATACAAGACCCGGACACTTCATACCCCGACACTTCATACGTTCCCGCCGTACGGAATACGTGACCCCGACACTTTATATATTCCCGCTGTATAGAATACGAGACCCCGACACTTTATATATTCCCGCTGTATGGAATACGTGACCCCGACACTTCGTACGTTCCCGCTGTACGGAATATGTGACCCCGACACTTTGTACGTTCCCGCTGTACGGAATACGTGACCCCGACACTTTATATATTGCCGCCGTATAGAATACGAGACCTCGACACTTTGTATATTCCCGCCGTATGGAATACGTGACCCCGACACTTCGTATGTTCCCGCCGTACGGAATACGTGACCCCGACACTTCGTACGTTCCCGCCGTACGGAATACGTGACCCCGACACTTCATATGTTCCCGCCGTAGGGAATACAAGACCCCGACACTTCATATATTCCTGCTGTATAGAATACGTGACTCTGACACTTCATATGTTCCCGCTGTACGGAATACGTGACCCGACACTTCATATGTTCCCGCCGTAGGGAATACAAGACCCCGACACTTCGTACGTTCCTGCCCGTACGGAATACGAGACCCGACACTTCATATACGTTCCCGCCGTACGGAATACGTGACCCCGACACTTTATACATTCCCGCCGTACGGAATACGAGACCCCGACACTTTATACATTCCCGCTGTATGGAATACGAGACCCCGACACTTTATACATTTCCGCTGTATGGAATACGTGACCCCGACACTTCGTATGTTCCCGCTGTACGGAATACGTGACCCCGACACTTTGTACGTTCCCGCTGTACGGAATACGTGACCCCGACACTTTATATATTGCCGCCGTATAGAATACGAGACCCCGACACTTTGTATGTTCCCCGCCGTACGGAATACGTGACCCCGACAGTTCGTATGTTCCCGCCGTACGGAATACGTGACCCCGACACTTCGTACGTTCCCGCCGTACGGAATACGTGACCCCGACACTTCATATGTTCCCGCCGTAGGGAATACAAGACCCCGACACTTCATATATTCCTGCTGTATAGAATACGTGACCTGACACTTCATATGTTCCCGCTGTACGGAATACGTGACCCCGACACTTCATATGTTTCCCGAATACGTAGGGAATACAAGATCCCGACACTTTCGTACGTTTCCTGCCGTACGGAATACGAGACCCCGACACTTCATACGTTCCCGCCGTACGGAATACGTGACCCCGACACTTTATACATTCCCGCCGTATGGAATACGAGACCCCCGACACTTTATACATTCCCGCTGTATGGAATACGTGACCCCGACACTTTGTACGTTCCCGCCGTATGAAATACGTGACCCCGACACTTTGTATGTTCCCGCCGTACGGAATACGTGACCCCGACACTTCGTACGTTCCCGCCGTACGGAATACGTGACCCCGACACTTTATACATTCCCGCCGTATGGAATACGAGACCCCGACACTTTATACGTTCCCGCTGTACGGAATACGTGACCCCGACACTTTGTACGTTCCCGCTGTACGGAATACGTGACCCCGACACTTTATATATTCCCGCCGTATGGAATACGAGACCCCGACACTTTGTATGTTCCCGCCGTATGAAATACGTGACCCCGACACTTTGTATGTTCCCGCCGTACGGAATACGTGACCCCGACAGTTCGTACGTTCCCGCCGTACGGAATACGTGACCCCGACAGTATATTCGTACGTTCCCGCCGTACGGAATACGTGACCCCGACACTTCGTACGTTCCCGCCGTACGGAATACGTGACCCCGACACTTCGTACGTTCCCGCCGTACGGAATACGTGACCCCGACACTTTGTACGTTCCCGCCGTACGGAATATACGTGACCCCGACACTTTGTACGTTCCCGCCGTACGGAATATACGTGACCCCGACACTTTGTACGTTCCCGCCGTACGGAATATACGTGACCCCGACACTTCGTACGTTCCCGCCGTACGGAATACGAGACCCCGACACTTTGGACGTTCCCCCCCCCCCCCGCCGTACGGAATACGTGACCCCGACACTTCGTACGCTCCCGCCGTACGGAATACGAGACCCCGACACTTCGTACGCTCCCGCCGTACGGAATACGAGACCCCGACACTTCATACGTTCCCGCCGTACGGAATACATGACCCTGACACTTTATATATTCCCGCTGTATAGAATACATGACCCCGACACTTCGTACGTTCCCGCCGTACGGAATACGTGACCCCGACACTTTATATATTCCCGCTGTATAGAATACGTGACCCCGACACTTTATATATTCCCGCTGTATAGAATACGTGACCCCGACACTTTATATATTCCCGCTGTACGGAATACGAGACCCCGACACTTCGTACGTTCCCGCCGTACGGAATACGTGACCCCGACACTTCATATGTTCCCGCCGTACGGAATACGTGACCCCGACACTTCATATGTTCCTGCTGTACCATGCACTTGTATGAAAAAATATCCTCTTCTTTGTATGAAATTCCTGGTGATTCCCCGTTACGGTGGTCACATGATCAGGAAAGGTCCCAATCGAAAGAGGAGATCGGGACCTTTCCGTGAGTACGGACATGTGTGCTGGGGGCGCGCACTCTCAGCACATATTTTTTTCTTAATTGCACACAAATGTGCGGCCGCTCGCTGTCTAGGCCCAGATGCCAGGAAGACACACATTTGTGTGCAGCCAGTGTGAAGAGGTTAGCCACCTGCCTACAGGGCACTTCCACCCCCTTCCTGCCCAGGCCAGTTTTCAGCTTTCAGCACTGTCACACTTTGAATGACAATTGCGCGGTCATGCAACACTGTACCCATATGAAATGTTTATCATTTTTTTGAGACAGATAGAGCTTTCTTTTGGTGGTATTTAATCACATCTGGGTTTTTTATTTTTTGCTAAACAAACCAAAAACAACTGAAAATTTTGAAAAAAAAAAAGTTTTTTCTTAGTTTCTGTTATAAAATTTTGTAAAGTGATTTTTTTTCCTTCACTGATGTGCACTAATGAGGCTGTAGTGATGGGCACTGATAGGCTGCACTGAAGGGCACTGATGAGGAGGCACTGGTAGGTGGCACTGATGGGCATTGACAGGCATCACTGATGGGCACTGAAAGGCAGCACTTATATATGGAACTGATAGGTGGCACTGACTGGCACTGTTAGACGGCACTGATAGGCAGCACACGGGCACTGATAGGGGCACTGACTGGCACTGATAGGCAGCTCAGATGGGCACTGATGTGGCATTGATGTGCACTGGTAGGCACTGATAGCCACTGGCAGGTGGCATTGATGGGCAATGACAGGCGGCACTGCTGGGGCTACACTGATCATCAGGGCACACTGATCATCAGTGCCCTGATGATCAGTGTACATGTCCGCTCTGAGTAATGCCAATTACCGTCTCTCCTCTCCTCACGAGCTGTCAGCGTGACAGCTTGTGAGGAGAGAAATGCCGATAACCGGCATTTCCTTATTTACATGCAATCAGCTGTGATTTGGACACAGCTGATCACATGACAGAGCCGACGTCTTTGGCTCTTTCCGTTGATCGGTGGTTGAGTGGGAAGATTTCTTCCCAGAAGGAGAGAACCGCCTTGCGCCCGTCATTTCCTTATATGGTGGGCGGGAGGCGGTTAAATAAGAACTCTGGGATAGGCAAAAAAATCACCCATTAGTTCACCCCCCCCCCTCCCCCTACACAAAACACTACACAGTTAATACATCTGTGAAGTTGCTTACTATTTAAGAGAAAAGTCTAATTGATTTTCATGACCTCATATCTGTAATTCAAAAGATAACAGCATCTGCTTTGCCAGGGAGGAGGAGTAAAAGCCGGGATTACATCATATCCTCTCTGTAGAGAAAGGAAACTACAGTTCCATCAACCACTGGGAATGGTAGTGAATGTGGGCGGGTATACTAGGCCTGTAAGTGTCTGAGAGTCTCATCTGCTCACCACTGCAAGTGGGGCTGAATGACATCACTGCTTCCTGGAGAAAGAACTACAGAAGGGATGTGCCAAGACCAGTGGCTGGGGAAACAAAAGGCATAGCAGCCACTGGTCTTACAAACAGGAAACCAAAGAGAATGGTTTGATCTGAAAATGAACAGGCTATTTCAGAGCAACTACTGTTGAATCAGAAGAGAGACGACATATTCAATGAAAGTAGGAAGTCAGCAACAAGGACATGTAAAGAAGTTTTTGCATGGAGTTCTGCTTTAATGATCAAACGTGTCCTGACAATTTCCCCACCCCCACAGCTACTCTCTATGAAGATCAGTGGTCTGCTGTTTTTCTTCCCCCTCCAGCTTTCTAAGACCCATATGCATCAGAGAACAGACATCATGTGATAACTTACAAAAAAAAAAGTATTTAAATTTATAATGTTTTTTTATATCTATGCAGAAATGATTTACAAGGTGAGGGTTCACATATACTTCCACTTTCCCAGAACCATGAACTATGAGGACCTATCCCCACCATCTATGGTAATGGTACAGTACAGGACACAGGCTGAGTGTTCGAACACATTGGGTCATAGGCTCTTATTTCCAGGTAATTGGACACCGGCAAAGCTTTAGAGGACATATCTCCATAACCCTACACTACTCTGAGTCCTTAGGTGATGGACCTCTTCTACCTTAGACAGAATTCAATCTTTGCTTAACTACCTTATTTTTTTTTTACTTTAAATTCTTTAATCTTCAAATTCTTCAATCAACTCCTCACTTTCTAATATCACAATTAGAAGCAGTGTATCCAGATCGATGCAACCTCAGGAAAATCTTGGGGGTCATACTCAGACACTATGGGGATGGCCTGTAATGTTGCTTTGTTTGGAATGAATTCATTTATACAGTATAAGCTCTTCAAACTGGAAACTAAAATGCATCCACTCGGAGCTCAGCCTCAGGTGGATGACTAGGTGTATAATCACACTACTGGTCACACAATTTATAAACCACCACTTCCGACTAGAGCTGTTTTATGGTACTCTGGCACTCTCACCCTTTCTCCACAAGGATTCCTCTAAAGGACAGTCTGTACCCAGGTTGCTGCATTTTCCTTCCAGACATGCTTACCCTATATTCTGCGCCGTACTCCACAAGTACCCCAGAGAGGAATACCCTCAGTCATAGCTATGGTGGAACACAAGTGAAAGGGAGTCAAGGCTAAACCTCAGCAAACATTGGCTCTGCTGAAGTCGCACACAACTCTCAACCTTAGAGTTATGATGCACCGGAGCAAGAACTGATTTTAACACAGGTACACAACACCTGTCAAAAGCAGAATTTCCTACATCTATTCCACAACTCCTCAAACAGCCAACAGCCTAAATGCAGCCATCTTTGTTCAGGGCTACAAAACACCAAATCCCTTCTTCAACACCTCAGTCAAATCCCGATATGCCTGTCCAAGACAGGGCAAACACGGCAGGGAATGAGGACGATATAGAAACAGTGTTGAAGGAGGCTGCAGAAGATTATTCTCCCCCACACTCTTTTACACCTAAAGCTTCACAGAATATGCTTGATATTGCGGACAAGCTACTGCTGCTGTGGCCAAAAACCTTGGCATTGGAGAAGCCGATTCCCCTGTCACCATGCCCCTTGGGTAAAAATAAACCTGTAAAATCCATAAAGACATTCCCCATTCATGAACAAATAGAATGGTCAATCTAAGACAACTGGGTCGGTCCAGAAAAGATTTTAAATCCTCCAAAAATCTTTACCAAACTCTATCCAGTGGAAAAAGTTTACTAAAATGTGGTTTGTTTCTGTAGTTGATCCTGCATCCTCAGATCTGGACATCTCACCGTACCAACAGAGGATATTCCTTCATTCAAAGATTCAGATGATCCTATAGGGGCTTTTTACTCTCGCAGGCCCAGCCCTACAACCAGCTATTATTACTATTTCAGTATTAACCCAGACAAGGGTAATGAACAAACAAGAGGATATTGTATTCCACCACTGAATTTTAATAGAGCAATTACAAGGACTAACTCCTGCTTTACTTTTCTGTGTGGATTACATAGAACATGTCAGGAAAGAGATTTCCAGAATGGCTCCCCATTCACATGCACAGAATCTTATGGTGCAAAGCCTGGACAGCTGAAGCTGCCGGCAAAAAGTGCCTCATACATGTGTCCTTGCAATACTTTTAATATAAGGGCATTTACCTGTCCAGAATCCAGTGATGTCCTCACCCTGAGCTGATTCTTCAATTGGTTTCGGGTGCTGGCTCCAGCATCTTCAGTAAGGGAAACTTCCCCTTTTGGGTGGAGTTTTGCTTTAACTAATTCATCAAAGAGGTCACAGGAGAAAAGGTTCTACCTCCACAGTGGAAGATTCCAAAATGCACTTCCTCAGGAGCCTCTACTTCCTAAAAACGTAGAACACCTAACTGCTCTAACCAGGCTTCAGCTCCAAAACTCAAGTTTAGCCTTTCTTTTTCAGTGCAAGACTTGGCTCACAAAGCCCACCAAGACTTCCCTAAAGCCCTCTTCCCAATTAAAGGGTCGCACTCACTCCAAAAAGTGGGGGATGTCTGTTACAGTTTGCAGACTGTGTCACAGATGTCCTAGACCTGTGGGTTCAATTGCTGTCTTCAAAAGTGTAACAAAAGTAGAATTCAAAACTCCACCCCCCTCACGATTTTCTTCTCTCAGATAAACTAAAAACTGACCAAGAACAGTCAGAATGCCCTGAACTATCTCTTGTTTCAGGAAATGTGCCAGCAGCGCTATAATACAGGTTCAAAGGATTCTATTCAAACCTGTTCATGGTATTGAAGCCAAACAGAGGTATTTGTCCTACTCTGAAATTAAAATTCCTCGACACATACCTCACGGACATGGAGGGATTACCTGGCATCTGTAGATATTGAAGTTGCCCATCTGCATATAACCATCTATTCACCTCATTGGCGCTTTCCGTGCTTTGCAGTTGCTGACATTTCCAGTTTATTGCATTGCCCTTCTAGCCTATCCTCCTTACTCCCCTTTCAGAAGTTAGGGCATCCAAGTCACAGGTTATCTAGATGACCTTCCCCTGAAAGACTCATCTCCTTTACAGTGGTCTACAAATCTCCACAGGGCTTTTCAGATGCTCCAGGTCTTCGGCTGTGTGATTAATTTCCAGAAATCTGCTCTACAACCTTCCCTTCACCTGTTATACTTGAGTCTGGTCCTCGACACATTCCAAGCAAAGGTTTTCCATCCAGAAAAGAAAAATTTCCCTGAGCCCATGGTCGAGGTTTGAGATCAAAGAAACATCCCACAATGAGACTTTCCATGAGAGTTCTAGGCCTTATGGTAGCCTCCTTCAAAGCTATACCATTCACTCAATTGCATTTGAGACTTCTCAAACGCATCTTGTCGACCCTTAACAAAATTCTCCGTCTCTCAACCCACCCATGCTCTTGTCCAACCAAGCTAGGAGCAAAGTTCGGTTAGCAGGTTAGGTGAAGTCCACAAACCCCAAACATAGTGGCAAACTGCTATTGAAGTCTATGGGAGGTGAAACTTGTATTTTCTTTTTCTGGCAGTTTTCTAGTCTTGAGAAAGTAGTAGCACAGCATGGTCAAAATGTTGTGTTCTGTGTTCCTGTCTGCAGGTTAGACGGACTGCACTGTGCACCGCAGTAGAGCATAACTAAGCTCCTAAACATGTCCCTCCCACTCTCTCACTCTGAATTACATAAAGCCTAAATCACAATAAATTCAGCTACTAACACTAGTTTCATTTATAATTACACGTATCATTTTAATGAACACAGATAAGTTTAAAAACTGGTTGCCTAAAGTTTAAATAGTAAATAAGGGGCTACAAAGCTACATGGATAGGTTTATCACTGTACCAAGTGAGTTAAAAGCTTATAAAAAGTACATATATTACAGCTGCATGCTTTTCAATTTGGTTTTTTATAAGCACATTTCAATCAAAAATCAACACAAAAAAACTGATCCAGAAAGAAATGGTTTCAAAAATGAAAGCAATCCATCGCTCAAGTGAACGCTGACTCGAATGATAATTAGAAGTCACATATCGTTTAGCTGAAATTCAGAGGTGGGAGACCTAGCAGGGGGAAGAACTCACTCTGCATTAATAACTCGTAGAAACAAATGTGAAGACAGCTGTTTTCAAGGACAGTTGGCCTGCGATGCTCAGTGTAAGAGTGGAATAGAAATCAGAACTTGTGACTATGACCACAGCTGCCATGTATTATGCACTAAAATCCAAGTGTAATTAAATAACCCTTTCATTTCAGCACAGGCACAACCGTGATATAGATTACATATAAACAGATGTAGCTGAAAAAATGAAAAAAAAAGTTGCTGCACTACACAGTGACCATTCTCCCTTCAAAAAAATTGAATACTCTGCTGCATAAATTCAGTAGGGTGTTGGATAAAAAAAAAACATATTCATTCTGGCCTGTGCTGGCTCAATAGCATCATGCAGCTACTTCAGATTCTTGGCCACACATTCTTATTCCAAGTCATCCCCAAAGTGCTCTATTGGACTGAGATCTGGGGCTTGTGCAGGCTTCATGGAAAAAATCAGCATTTTTGGTCAGTAATTTACACGCATATGAGCATATATAATAATGAATTTTCCCTAAGAATATATTGTGCACGCATATGCACGGTAATACGTTAAATATGCGCAAAATATACGGTAAATATGCGCAAAACAGATGCCTGAAATTACGTTAACAAAAAAGCAGATGCTCAAACATCAGTACCGTGTGCAAGAGGTCTAATACATTGAAGCCATGTTCATGGAGCTAGTATAGATCAACCAAGAGAAGGAGGCCAGAAGTTTGGACTTTAGAGGCACTGAAACAATAGCCATTAAAATGGTTTCTTTATTTGAATGTACACAATTACGCAACAGTACATAAAACACATCTGCTAATAATGTAAGACCCCCATTGGGGGTGAATCAGGTGTCAAAAACCATAGTGACTCAACGTTTCACGAGAATATTGCCAGAAACATGTTGAGTCACTATAGTTTTTGACACCTGATTCATGTTCCTTAACCGGGATACAGTATATTTGGATCAAGATTTTTATGTACGAGATTTGTAACTGCAAAGAATGTACCACTCCAATGGGGGTCTTAGATTCTTAGCAGATGTGTTTTATGTACTGTTGCGTAATTGTTTTTTAATGAATACTGTTGCAGTGCCTCTAAAGTCCAAACTTCTGGCCTCCTTCCCTTGGTTGATGTATACTACCTTTATTAGGACATGGCACTTGTGAGCCTTTTTCATATCCCCACAGTCACTACTCTGTTGGGTACTGTTCACTTTCCATGTTCATGGAGCTAGTTTGAGATAATTCCTGCTCTGTGACACGGCACAACACCCTGCAGGAAGGAACCACTTGAAAATGGTTATCTGTTGCCATAAAGGGGTGCACGTGGAATTCAACAATATTGTGGCATTGAAATGATGCACATTAGAAAATGGTTATCTTCTGCCATAAAGGGGTGCACACAGCATTCAACAACATTGTGACACTGAAATGATGCACATTAGGCATTAAAGTGAACCCAAACATTGTTTGAACTAGGCAATTTAATGTGGAACTTTATGTAGAAAACAAAAACGGGTGAACAGGCAGGATTTTTAATGCTTTGTCTCTTCTACATTAAAATGACCTACCTGCCTGTCCACCCATGTACAGTGAATTGCAAATGCACAGTTCACTGTTGAAATTCAGCAATGCCGAAGCGTGGGAGTGACATCATATTGGCCCAACATGTGTTGAACACCTATCTGCCTTTTATTGTCTGTTCCCCTGATAGGGAGAGTCACTCTCTCCATTTGTCCTGCTTACTGTTGTCCCCAAAATATATTAATTCAAAATATTCAGAATATTCACAATTTTGGCCTGTCACTAGAACAGTAATAGAGGAGATATCTTCCAATAGTCACACTTGTTCTGGTGACCCTGGTGACAGTCAGGGACTTTTAACTTTGTAGGGGTTTCATTTCAATTCCTATTTTGGTTGAGATAGGAAGTGATGGGAAACTTCTGCAATGAGGCACAGAAAAAAAGCTGACAGGGGTTCTAACCCCTTACTCTATCCACAATGAAAATAAAAACAAGCTTTGTCATTGGTTCTACTTTAACCGCTTCTAGACTGCCCTATACCAGAAATACTGTTACAGAGCGGCACAAATGTGCAAAAAATCACATATATATATATACAGTACATGTTTTTGGATTAATGGGTAGGGAGCATGGAAATTCGCGGCCGCGGATGTCAATCACTGGGTCCTGGCCGGTGATTACTCGCAGGCGCACGGTGATTACCGAGGATCTCCGACAGGGAGGACTGTTTTGTTTGCTAACAGTTCTCCTCCCTGTCAGCTCGGAAATCACGGGGCGCTGGCAAGTAATCACACAGACAACGCCCCCTAGTAAAACACTCCCTGCATACAGTTAACTCTTGGATTTTTTTTATAATAGAAAGAAAGAAAAACTTTTTTTTTAAATTTTTTGCTCTTTTTTCGTTTATAGTATAAAAAATGAAAAACCCAATGGTGATTAAATACCACCAAAAGAAAGCTCTATTTATGTGAAAAAAAATTATAAAAATTTCTTGCCGGTACAAATATTGGCCTGGGCAGGAAGGGGGTAAAAGTACCAGGTAGGCAAGTGGTTAAAAAAGAACTTAAAGCTTAACCCAGGATAAACAAATGTATCTAAATAAAAGAGTCGTGTGTATTCTTCCTTGAATCGTATTGTGCTTTGTGTATTTCTCCCAGATCTGTGCAGTAATTCAGTGTGAAACATTGCCTCTGTGCAGGGTCTTCCTGTAATAAAGACCTATCACTGATGTTCACTCCTTGTGTGTGGTCTCGGCCCCTCCTGTAGTTTTCTGCAGGCAGCCTGTAGTGGGTGGAGCTTGATGGATCAGCTGATGATGTCACTGCTACTTTTACAACATAACATCTGAGCTTTTAAAGGCATTTGGTGCATGTAAAGTGGATTTATATTCTTCCTGGCTGTTGAATATATTTAAATGCAAATGGTGTTCAGCTTAAAGCGGAGTTCCACCTGAAAAAAAAAAAACATAAAAGTCAGCAGCTACAAAAACTGTAGCTGCTGACTTTTAAAATACAGCCACTTACCTGTCCCTCGGTCCAGCGGTGGTGAGTTTCACCCGATGTCTGCCTCCCTGCATCTGCAGTGTGGGCACCTCGGCTGTGACAGCTTGCGGCTTCACAGCTGGTTGCCCACTGCGCATGTGAATGGCACCCTAGGCTTCTGGGACCTGTCACGTGTCCCAGAAGACTACGGGGTGGGAGGACAACTTCAACTTCTGATCGCCTAGGCGATCGCAGCAGAAGTGGGAGTGGGTACCTGTAAAATTCGGGTACCCACTACCCCCCCCTCCACTCTCCAAAGGTGCCAATCCTTAATGGGGAGCGGAGGACAAAGGCTTAACCCGGAACTTTCCCTTTTGGGTGGAGTTCCGCTTTAACTCCTATATTCAGCTGAACCTCACTGCTGGCATAGCACATTTAATAATACATTGCTTCAGATGCAATATGTGTTGATGATGGGGGATCTATGGCTAATGAATGCAATGTCTAGAGTACATAATATTTGGCCTGAGGTCCCCTATGTGTTTGTAGACAGACTCTTGATGACTAGGGTATGTTTCCCTATTAAACAGGAATACAGACGGGGAGCTAAATTTGCACTCTAAATAAAGAGTCCTTCCTGGTCAGGATTAAGCAGTCTAAGCTCCAATGTCCTAGTAACAAAACAAATAATATTTATGAATGACTTTCCTCATCGCAGTGGAGTATCTGTACTGACAGATGGCTAGCTTGGTATGAAGTACATGCAGATGGCGATAAAGCAGCTGTCCTGTATATAGTGGAAGATGTTTATTCCAAAATAAGGATCTGGTTTCATATCCCTTCTCCATTTTAATCAATGCGAAATCAGGAACGTGAACATCAATTTAGGGATAAACATAAAGGGTTACAATGTAAATGGCAGCTCCAGCCAAAGAGCTAAATGCACAGTTGAAACATATACATAAAACTATTTCACCTGTCAGAAGACTCAATAGCTGATACACAGCTGCAGAGCACAAGGAGCGTGACTACACTCTATGGAGCCTTCAGTTTGTGAAGTTTGTGTCACTGCCCCGCCTCCTACAAAGCATCCTTTCCTTAGCCACACCCACTCTGGGCACTTCTCCAGGAAGCCTGATTTCACCTCAATTATAGCAACTTAGTTTAAAGGCAAGCCTGTGCTTTGCCCATTCAGAGCCTGCACTTGCAGGTTTGTGTAAGCTCCGAATGGACCCTCTGTCTATCCTCAATGTGACAGCGCTAGGCTCATCACCAGGCAGCAGTCCTGCCACAGGAAAAAGGGAGTAAATCACATTCTCATCCATATCTTTACAGTGGTTGTAAACCTTAGATATGTATTGGTCTCAATAACAGCACTAAGTGTTATTTCTGTCTGCTACCTTGTTTGTTCTGCTATCAGCATGAAACATTCTGACACGTTTTCCTGACACCAAGAGAAAAATGGTGACAGGGGAGGGACTTCCAGCAGATTGACAGCCTCTGCTCTGTTACTGTGAGCTGTGTAAAAGGGTTGTTTCCCATCACGCCAATCAGCTCCCCTCACTGAGCTCTGATTTCAGCTCTATAATTTTAGCACTTTAAAAGGATGTAGAGAAGAGAAGACAGCAGATAGACAGGCAGGGGCAGACTGACAACTCATGGGGCCCCCGGGCAATAGGGGATCATGGGGCCCCTGTGTCCTTGCCCAAACTCAAAAAAGCCTATGAAAAAGGTAACAGGGGCATCTCATGGGGCCCCCTACTGACCCCGGGCCCTCGGGCAGTGCCCGAGTTTCCAAATGGTCAGTCCGCCCCTGTAGACAGGTAAATCCCATGCAGGAGGATTTGTTTTCATCTCTGTGTATCATCTGTGTCTCTGGGTATATGTAACCACTTTAAGTACCAGGAAGTTTCTTTGCCCTGGGCTACTGAGTGCAGGAATGAAAGAAAATAAGTATGATGGGAGCATCAAACCAAACCTGTTGCTATGCACAGAATAGCTTTAAAACAAAAAAAAAATAATTATTCAAAATTGTTAACAAAAAGAACTTTACAATAAAAAAGAAAAACATAATTTCTCCTTGGTTTCTCTTATATTTAATGCCTTTCAGTGAACACATTACATACTGTATTAGATTAAGAAAATTATAAAATTCAGCTATCATTGTTTGGGTCCATTTTATTCCCTTTTATTAGGTTTATACATTTTAAAATGATATTTTAGATTTTATTTATTTTTAAAAAATATGTAATATATAAATCATTGTTTACAAATAAACATTTTATAACAAAGGATTTTCAGAGCATAATGGGTTAGCTAAAGAGGCAGTTTATTAGTGGATGATTGCCTTCTTGCTTGCTCTGTCAGGCTGAAACTTCAGAAGGAGCTGTCTGATAAGGGATAAGTCACTGTGATGAGTTACACCCTTTATTTATTTATTTTTTTATATATACCTAATTACAAGGCAACTGAATATGTATAACAAATAAATCATGAGCTAAAACAAACAGCACATAAAATAACTCATGCAAATTAGTAGATTGATTCTAAGTATTTGGTATTCCCAAAGAAAAATCCCCAGATAAAGCTGGTTCGCTGGGCATGTGAACTCTTTCCGAATATTTTCTAAAATATGAGCTGCCTTTTGAACTGTTTTGAAGGGTCCAACTCCCGTGCTGTCGTCTTTACCCTTGCTTTTTTCCTAGTGAGACAGTGATGTAGAACAATCATACATCTGACCTAAATGCTTAATCTGGGTCAGCTACTAAGAGTGAGGCAAGAATATAGATAACCCTAAAGCAAGCACCTCCAAAAACAAGTCATCCATGGATGGTTCCATATCTCCAGTCTGGTAGGTGGACTATACCTTTATGCATTTTGTGTATAACAAACGTCCAGGTAAACAGTCCATAGTGATACATATCTGTCTGACTCTATATGCCTACAGTTCTATTTTTACTGTGAAAATTAATACGTATTTTTTTTCATTAGTTCTTTGTAAATTAATGGAGACAATAGCACAAGTGACACTACAAACACGTGTTAATAAAGTACAAATTTATGTATGAAACAATATATTTTAATATTAATTTTATTCTCCAAGAAAAAAAAAATCAAATAGAACCATTTTCTTGGATAATTTTTGGATGCTGTCTCAAAAGCATGTTTAATAATCTATTAATAATAATTAAGCACCTTGAAGAGGGGTTGAGGTACAGGATTCTTGGAGCTAAAAATAACGAGGTCCTCCTCTGATGGCCTCTGATCCAAGCTGTAACAAATTCAATTGCAGATTGCTACTTTAAATGCTAGAAACATCAATATGAGAAATAGGTTCCTGTGTTCTAATTACGTTGATGAATCATGAGCACTTTCTCCCAAAGAGACCATCGTGCAGATCAGAAAATTGGAAAGACTTGGGCTATAATTCCAGCTAGGATGACTCTTCTGAATTCAGTTCATCCAAAAGCAATCAGAGATTTTTAAATGCTCTTAACAGTTTTCGAAGACTGTCAAAGGTGTCATTGGCGCACGCTCATTTTCTCCTGACGGCTGTGTGACTGTAGGCATGCAGTGTCTTTTAACTGTCCTTATCTAGATATGACATAATGACCTGCTGCTGCCATCTCCATACTGTGTCAGAAAGAAACCTCAATCCAATGCCATGTTATATAGTATATAAAGTATAGATGTAACTATAATTGTGACAATTCCTACCATCAGAACCATGTGACGATCTTGGGCATAAAAAAGTGACATAAAGAGTTTTAAAGTCTGACGATATTGGCCAATATATAGACATCAGAAGAAAGTGAAATGCAAAGAACTATAGGATCTTTTAGTTCTTAAAGTGAACCTTTAGAGAGAAAAAATAGATAAGCATGTTGCTGCACAGCAGGCGCCATAAGATGATCAATCATACCATTACCTTCTTAACAGTAATACAATGTGCCATTGGGGTCCCCTAAATTTCAAATAGAAGATTAAGCAAACTTCCCTATCCCCTATGTGCCATTGTTTAAGCTTGCTGACAGGCTGCTCAGACATGACGAACTATAGGAAGGAGGGAGGGTGTACATGGGTGTGCTATAACTGTAAATACTAGATAATTGCAGGGCAGCAGCTTCAAGGTAATGGTAATGATCTTAGTTTTTTATGGTACCAACTATGCAATATCATGCCTTGTCTTTTTTCTTTCTTTTTTTTTTTAAAACAGGTTTCTTTTAAAAAGAAAATACTAGGCATGTATAGACCAGGTCAGGACAAATCTCATCCAGAACTAGGAACCAACTTTAAGAACTAGGAGCTAGTACTACATAACCTGTAAATGACTATGTAGGCTGTTAAAAGATACATAGCTAAAGGCTAAGTTCAGCTTTTTACAAAAACAAACCGATGCAGGGAAAGTGCCTCTGGCTTTAAATGCACTGTGTTGTTTGTTGAAATATAGTTAGATGCAGATGTCATACCTGTAGGCCATTTCTGTTCCTGATGCAGCCTCAGGGCTCATCGGCGTTTGGAAAACTCTTCTGAATGATGGAAACTAACTGCTGGAAAACATAGGTTAAAAAACGTCAGTTTAGCCACGTTTGCATACTGTGTTAATGCACGTTTACGTTTAGAAGCGTTTTTAAAAGAAAACCTCAGGAGACCTTCCCAAATGCCCAGAATGCACTGAAAAATAGTAAATTATTACTATTATACAGTATTTATATAGCGCCAAAAAGTTTGCTCAGCGCTGTACATTATAGTGGGAGACAGTACATGAGACAATACAGTAACAATACAATACACGAGGGGTTCGAGGGCCCTGCTCCTTGGAGCTTACAATCTAGGAGTGAGGGGATAGTGGTACAGGAGGAAATGGCTGTGGGGGATGGAGTGGTAGGAGGAGTGGAGGAGATCGGCAGTTAGGTGAGGGCAGGGTAGGCTTCCCTGAAGAGATGGGTTTTCAGGGTGCGCATAGTAAATAATTAACTATTTCAGACATTTTGAGAGAAATAGAGCAGAAGCAGAGAGAGCAGTATGTGTTGAGATGACCTGTCTTTTCTGGTTGTATTCACTATGGATCCCATCATGAGCATAGAGCAGCACGTTCAACCATTTTTTCCTTCACGCAAAACCTGGAACTGATTGCGCATTTGAATACATGGAAAACGCTTTGCATGCATTTCTGATGATGAAAAAAGGATAGCATCTGGACATGGAACAGTTAAAAAAGGATTCTAAACGCAAACGCTTATAAACGCAGTTAAGCGTGCTTACAAGCGTTTACACGTTTACAAGCATTTGGCGTTTGAAACGCCGGTAAAATCTACTCCAGAATGCAAGCTTGGTGCGTTAAAAAAACGACTGTAAACTCAAGTGCCTGTAAATGACTGTAAACGACTATGTGTACATAGACATATAGGAAAACATTAGGGAGAGTTCAGGGGCTGCTGAAAAAAAACGCTGAACAGCTCCTGAACATCAGTTTAGGAGGTGCAGTGTACATGAACCCTTACATCCTTGGTTAATTACAGGACATGGCAGCTGTTGGTGCTTTCTCCAAGCATTGGAAGAGCAAACAAGCTTCCCGTTTCAAAAAATCCACATGTGCAATGCATGCTCTCTCTTCACCTACCCCAGTCTGTCTCTCACCATGCCTGCTGTCAATACAGTCACATTATCTGCCACCCCCTCACGCATTTCAGGGCCAGCCTTATTGCAACACACCTTTGCACATTATCCTCCTAGATTGTAAGCTCTATTGAGCAGGGCCCTCTGTTTCCTCTTGTACCAAATTGTATTGTTACTGTAACATTTACCTTCATTTTGTAAAGCGCTGCTCAAACTGTTGGCACTATATAAATCCTGTATAATAATAATAAAAATAATAAATAATTATCCAGCATCAGCTTCCTGGGAATTTGGTTACATGACGCCTCACACCTGTAAAAGAAGTTGGCACTGATATTGCAAGACACCTTTTCACATTATCCTCCTAGATTGTAAGCTCTATTGAGCAGGGCCCTCTGTTTCCTCTTGTACCAAATTGTATTGTAACTGTAATGTCTACCTTCATTTTGTAAAGTGATGCGCAAATTGTTGGCGCTATATAAATCCTGTATAATAATAATATTAAAAATAATAATTATCCAGCATCAGCTTCCTGGGAATTTGGTTACATGACGCCTCACACCTGTAAAAGAAGTTGGCACTGAAATATGTTCATCTGCCAGGCACTGATTGCAGGTCTATGCAGAGAAAGCAGGTAGCTATTTAATGCCAACACATGCCAATGACTGTGGACCCCACTCTTATCGATATCAAAACTGTGAAGTATCTCCACTCAAGGCCCTGGGTGTCATAACCTGCTACAACTGAGGCATATTGGATGCTTTTTCAATAAAGGATTAATGGCGGAGAGGGCTGAGTGCTGGTGAATGCTGTATCTGTCATATGCCCCAGAAGGGTTGTACTGTGCAATGTATCCAGGGTGTGAAGCATATGGAAAGTTGAGCCATGTATGGCTTTATTTGTTCACCAACCCAACATATCTTATATCATAGCACTGCTCGA